ATTTTTTTTTTTTTGGTTTTTTTATTTATTTTTTTTTTTTCTTTTTTTTTTTTTTTTTTTTTTTTTTTTTTTTTTTTTTTTTTTTCTTAAATATAATTTTCGATTTCAGGACACGATTGAAATAACAAAATTCAATTTTACTTTAAACCCGAAAGTCTCGATTTATGACTTTCTTGAGGTAATATGATTAATTATTGTATAATTTTCTTATTTTGAATAATATTAATCATTTATTTGTTGCCACTTATAGAAAGAATTACTAAACTGTCAAGAAGAATCTCGGCAATTAAATGAAATGAGTACGACACTAAATGATATCACAAACCTCTTTGATCATACGGATAAGGTATTCTTGCTCAACATTTGATTTTAAATTATCGTGTGGTCAATTAATTAATAATTATAATTTAGGTGTTAATTACTAAGACTACCAATGGTCTATCTAAACGTGAGTCGTGTCCCGAAAAAGGTAGACTTGAAAATTCATTAGACAATGTTGCGCATAAGGAAAACAGAGAAAATAGCCGAGAGAATAGGGGTGATCCATCTGCGACTAATCTAAATGGAAAAGGTTCATACATAAGTTCAACCTCCAATTTTTCTGAAGATTTGATTCGTACTAAATACGATAATAAAAGGACAATAAAGCCACAAAATGATGAATTTGGTCGTTTAAATGAAGAAATTAAACGTTCCAGCGAAAAAATTGAAAATCAAGCTCACTCTATTGTTTTAAAAGATTGTGAGATAAAAAGTCTTCAAGCAGATAATAAACGTCTAACTAATGAAGTTTCCAGAATTCGCCAAGACTTGGAAAAATCTAATGCTAACTACAATAAGTATCGTGAGCTTGTCGAGACAAAACACAAAACTGATACTGAAACGTTAATTTTCTCTCTTCAAAATGAATTAAAGCATTCACAAAAGACTAACTCTACAATGAAATCTCAATTAGAGGATTCTCGTGCTCTTAATGAGCTTTTGAAAAAGAATTATGAATCTCTAATGGAAGAAAATAAAAAATTGCGTGAAAACTTTCGTAGAGCTAAATTAGAAAGAGAGACTCAGTTGGATTTTGTGAAAAAGTTGGGTCATGAGATTGCAATGAATTCTGGTTTGGAAAATGATTTATCAAAATCATCATTACCTCAAGTGACTCGAAATGGACATTCAAAACAAATTTCAGAGCCAATTAAAGACTCTGAATGGACAGGTGACAGTGATGGAGATGACGAATCTCCGATAATTAATAATAATTTAGATAATGTATTTAATAAGAACAAAGTTGTGAAGAATGGTGTAATAATAGAGAATAATACTAAAAGTAGTTGTATAGATGCTTTTAATGTAATTTCTACTGACCAAGCTGAGAGAGATGATTGCGAAAGCAGAATTATAACAGACGAGATCACGACTCATAAACAAGAAACTATCAATGGTGACCTTAATAAAAATAAGTTGACCAAAAAATGTTCACGCTCAATAATAACGTCTTCAAAAGGAAGAGGTGTTAAAACCGCCAAGAATAGGTCTAGGGCCGAGTCATCGGATAATAGTCAGGTTGTAAAAAAGGTCAAAAGTGAAATAGATTCGGAAAAAGGAACTCAATTAATAAAGGTAATTTTATTGTTTTTAAACATTGAAATGATTTACTGTATTTTCGCGTAACAACACGCATCTGTATTTCGGGATGTACATGTGCGACATTTCGAATAATTTTTATATAGAACATAATAGGTTTGGTATGACACATATATAGTATTAACAATATGTGTCAATCCCCTAGGTTCAGATGCGGTTAAGAGTGTTATTTTAAGACGCACATGGGTGTTATTTAAGTCAAATATGTAATCTTAAAAAAGTGATTTTAAATAATGCCCATGTGTGTTATTACGCGCTAAAATGATTATTTTTACTTACAAACCTATATATTAATTTTTCGTTTTTAAAACCTTTACTAGGGTGCAAACGTGTGCTGGATTATTGGTTGTTTGTTGTAAGTATATGTGTATAATATTGAATCACAAAAACAAATGCTATTTTACAAACATTAATGCTTATAACCTTTCTATTGTATCTTGCCACTTACGGTTTAATTAATAGGATTTTACTTTTCTTACATTCCATGATTATCATATTCATTCAAACCACATTTTTTCACGTTCCAATGAGTCAAATCTCATTGTCATGGTTAAATCCATCGACATATAATAATTTTTCGCTATCTGAAATTTCTACAGAGAACCTTTCCTTATTCAATTGGTTAAATTTGAATTTGGAATGGTTTAATCTATCAACTTGGAATTCGTTGATTTGGAATTTATCAATGACTGACATGATACCTTGGAACGTTTCGAGGATCAACGTTGAAGCATTAAAAATAGGGGCATCAGCTTTAGAGTTTTCGGTGGGTTGGGTAGTGTATATAGTATACGGATATTTTGTTTTAGGATCGATTTTAGCATGTTTTGTGTGGGTATTTTTGAAATATATCGAATGAATATTCATACGTTTTGTATGAATTATTGGGAATGGCGAAAAAAACATTCTTGTTTAATATTTTGTGTAAACTTTAATCCAATAATTTTTAATCATATTTAACCGAGTTATTATTCAAAAAAAAAAAAAAAAAAACTAATTTAAAATTCCAAAAACATTTAATTTCACACATAGAAAAGACATTTAACCTAGACATTTTGAATATACAATAGTCATAATCATTACTGAGAATAATACGAAAAAAAAATCCGTATAACTTGTTGATTGGAGTTTAGTATTTTATAAACCGATTAACAGTTGTTAATAGCATCGAATTTTAATAGTACACAAATGAGTTTATAAATGAGTTTATAATGAGTTATGGCGTTATTGACAGTTGTAACTTTTTTTTTTTGTTTGGTATCTACAGAAATACTGTTTGTGAATACTATCATACACTACGTACGATATAGACCACATTTCAATGTATACTTTTTTTTACGGTCACATAAAAATTTGCAGGCAAATTTGACTTAGGAGCTATTTTATTATTAATACGTAATTCGAACAATCTCCTCTCTAGAAAGCCTTATTTTCTTGGAATTGAAATTTGAAGTGCAATGATTTTCAGAATTGTCTTTAAATCCACATCACACTAGATTATAGAATACATTTGCTTATTTTTATTTAAGATATTTCATGTATATTATTTTAGTTAAGTACTTTTATACAATGCTCATGAAGATTACCTTCACAATTTATTCTAATTATTTCATATATTTCAATCTAATTCGTGAGCATAGAATGCATATTACAAAAATTTTGCATTTATCGTTATATATAATATCATTCATTTATATATAGTTCATGTAAATTATTTTGACAATTTATCCAGAGTGATAATTGTTAAACTGTTATTAACTGTTAAAATACTTGTTCTGTTACTAATTGTCAATAATTATCAAGGTTATCAAGTCATTCATGTATATGCGAATAGTTATGGTACTCTGAGTTTTTAGCTAATAATAAAAAAATTAATAATGCGTTATTATTGTTATTCGTTAATAACTTCGAACGTTGCTATGTTGAATTAAATAAACTACTCCCAGAATAAATTAAAGAAAATAACTTTTTGCTTTTGAAACATTGTATGATAAATTCCGATTACGACAATATTGTAAAAATATTATGCATCCTGTACTAATTTGCTGCTCCATACATAATTAAATCGGTTTTATCTAATAATTCGATCAATCAATTAATGACCAATATTAATTACTAATAAATTCAGAGGGTCCCATCGCTATTCAGTATTAATAAAAAATTTTTAAACTTTAATGATAAAGCAATAATCATATGATTATTTATTAAATTTAAAACATTTAAAGTTGTATTCTTGAAAGAAAATTATCTAAGATGGCCTTTTCTTCATTATTTTATAGATTTAAAGAAATTATAGTATCATTGGTGTGAAGCATTTCTATAAAAGCTTTGGCTTGATAAAAAAAAAAAGAATTACATTGAAGATTTAGAACTTTTAATGTAGAACTCTTGCTAATAGTGTCCGCTAATACCACACTTGCTTTTGAACTGATGATGTTATTTTCAAGAATTAAATGTGTTAAAGGGTTTGTATATATAATTTTGCCAATTCTAAGGCATCTTTGGGCCGAAGTTGATCGTGTTCAATCCGTAAGTTTCTCAAAGATTCTTCGGTTAAAGAACCAGATAGCAGGTCAAACCCGTTTAAAAACTTGAGAACTTGCAGCATAACTCATTCTTGCTTTTGGCTTAGCACTTCTAGAAATCCTGTAATTTATAATGACCAGTTTATTTTCTTTGTTAAAAAGTTGAAAATTAAAAAAGTTATTTACCATTTGATAAGAATAAGCTTGGTTTTTTTCTTGTGGTATAGTTTCAGCAATTTCATAATTAAAGTCATAAATAACATAGCGTGGTTCACTTTTTCGCTTTTCAGATAATAAATATTTACGCAGTTCGTCATACTTAAATGTTTTTGTGTTTTCAACAGTAACTTGACCTTTGTCTATGAAACATACAATGCAATTGTATTCACATGCTTCACTTTGAAGTTTGAGCAGGTCAAATGCAGCTTTAACTTCTTCATCGAGAGTAATACCAGTTAAACTGGTAGTGGCTCTGTTTCTAAGCGACATGCCTGAACAGCTTTTTTAAAAGTTTTCAAATGATTTATCGAGTTTGTTAATATTACAATGTAAGAAGCTTATAGAACGTGGTGATGGTGCTCCATTTGTCATGATCTTAACTATTGTCCATAACATCGGATCATGATTAACTTTGTGAAATCTGAAGATCATTGTTTAGACACGGATATTTAAATTGCAGGTGTAACGTGAAGATCAAAACACTTAGGTGTAACCGGGTGATATCAAAATTTTCTGATAACGATGATAAACAACTTTTCAAGGGTCTAGGATAATAATAATTATCCAGTTCTTATTTTTTAGTAGCAATGCTAACTCGTAACGAAACTCAATTCCCATTAATTTTTGATTCAACAAGAAAAGTGTTAATACCACAATATGTTCACCCGGAAAAATATTTGCCCTCTACTCCAAAGTCAACAGAAGGAAATACACCTCTTACAGCTATTTCAGACGACGAATACACGACTGATGCTCCGTCACCTACTGAAACTAGTCACCTTTCAGCATTTTCTGACAATGAACAAGGAGAGTCTTCAACAACACGATCTAGTAGAATATGGACTGAGAATAACATCATGATTTTACTTGACTATGTTGAAGCCAATTACGAACAGTGGAGAATTTGCAAACGCGAGTTTTGTAGATTTATTGAAAAAGCAAATGTTTTAAAAAAAAAATTTAAAAGATATCAAATTGAAAAGAAATTAAATACTCTTGTAGCTACTTACACAAAAATTAGAAAGGGTATCAAAGTACAGCAAAGAAAATTTCCTGCATATGCTAGAATGCATGAAATATTTGGACATCGGCCAATAGAAGAGTATATTATTTTAAGGGAAACCTCTGGACCTAAAAAGCGCTTTTCTCAAAATATTGATTCTATGGATGACGATGAACAAGTAAATTCCTCCTCACATTTAAAAGCTAAACGAGCAAAATACTCTTGT